AATAGTGTACATAATACCTCATCTCAGAAATATAGACAGATACTGAAAGGCCGAAACGTTGTAATAAATATGGTGACAAAGATGAGGACAATAGTCCGAATAATGTAAATAATATACATTATACCATATCTCAGAAATATAGACAGATGCTGAAAGGGCGAAACGTTGTAATAAATATGGCGACAAATATGAGGACAATAGTCCGAAAATGTAAATAGTGTACATAATACCTCATCTCAGAAATATAGACAGATACTGAAAGGCTGAAACGTTGTAATATATATGGCGACAAAGATGAGGACAATAGTCCGAATAATATAAATAATGTACATAATACCTCATCTCAGAAATATAGATAGATACTGAAAGGCCGAAACGTTGTAATAAATATGGCGACAAAGATGAGGACAATAAGCCGAATAATGTAAATAATGTACATAATACCTCATCTCAGAAATATAGACAGATACTGAAAGGCCGAAACGTTGTAATAAATATGGCGACAAAGATGAGGACAATAGTCCGAAAATGTAAATAGTGTACATAATACCTCATCTCAGAAATATAGACAGATACTGAAAGGCCGAAACGTTGTAATAAATATGGTGACAAAGATGAGGACAATAGTCCGAATAATGTAAATAATATACATTATACCATATCTCAGAAATATAGACAGATGCTGAAATGTCGAAACGTTGTAATAAATATGGCGACAAATATGAGGACAATAGTCCGAAAATGTAAATAGTGTACATAATACCTCATCTCAGAAATATAGACAGATACTGAAAGGCTGAAACGTTGTAATATATATGGCGACAAAGATGAGGACAATAGTCCGAATAATGTAAATAATATACATTATACCATATCTCAGAAATATAGACAGATACTGAAAGGTCGAAACGTTGTAATAAATATGGAAATAAAGATGAGGACAATAGTCCGAATAATATGGCCAGTTCGTTGTGTTAAAAAAGAAACATCACATTTTCTTTAATATACGCCGCCCATTTTACAAGGGGGGGGGAATTGTACTGATTCACATTTAATATACGCCGCCCAGTGTTCTCAAGGACACATGGCAAAGTGGATAAAGGCGTTAGTTAGATGCAATGACAGGACCCAAAGAGTGTGAGTTCAATACGCGGTTAAAGCAGAGGGGAATTAACAGGAGATAACTGACATCCATTAGACATGGAACGTGGAACTAGAACAGTCTACACCAGTAAGCGAAATAAAGGGTTCAAAAAGAAAGCCGGAGCGTACAACTGCCGAAACGTTGTAATAAATATGTCGACAAAGATGAGGACAATAGTCCGAATAATGTAAATAGTGTGCATAATACCTCATATCAGAAATATAGACAGATACTGAAAGACCGAAACGTTTTAATAAATATGGCGACAAAGATGAGGACAATAGTCCGAATAATGTAAATAGTGTACATAATACCTCATATCAGAAATATAGACAGATACTGAAAGACCGAAACGTTTTAATAAATATGGCGACAAAGATGAGGACAATAGTCCCAATAATGTAAATAGTGTACATAATACCTCATATCAGAAATATAGACAGATACTGAAAGACCGAAACGTTTTAATAAATATGGCGACAAAGATGAGGACAATAGTCCGAATAATGTAAATAGTGTACATAATACCTCATCTCCGAAATATAGACAGATACTGAAAGGCCGAAATATTGTAATAAATATGGTGACAAAGATGAGGCAATAGTCCGAATAATGTAAATATTGTCCAGTTTGTTGTGTTAAAAAAAGAAACATCACAATCTTTTTAATATATGCCGCCCATTGTACCAAACATAATTTGATTTATGTGGATTTCACAACGGAAAATTAAATAAATGATTCAATGAGAACATGGTATGATGTCAGACCCAACAATATGACATCAAAGCATCTTGTAGAACGTTTTATTTCAAACGACAAGCATTTTAAGGTACACATTCTGAACAATATATTTCTGCCCTTAAAAAGGCAAGAGGATACATACGTATGCTAATTACTAACTTCACGGGCCCCGGGAATGGACAGTATGATTATAAGATTTAAACTAAGCTCTTTGACTAATTCCTCTTAGTAACCAATCAACTAACGGAAAATTCCAAGATGAAGAAGATCACCATGATATTAAGCACGTTTTAGTTTCATGCCTTCACGCTGGCGGCTTTTCATTCGTTTTGACGCATCTATTACCAGTACAGCCATTTTTTATTTCAAGACAAGAAATTGTACAAAGGCTTCAAGGAGTTGATATGCCACTAAACAAATGAACCAGAAACGAAAGGTACCTATGACTACTACTACTACTACTACTACTACTACTATTCAGTGACCACAGGTAGGATGTCAGACACAACAATGTGAAATCAAAGGAACTTGCAGAACATTTTCTGAACAATTGATTGTAATTTTGACCAGCATCTTAAGATGCATATTCTGAAAAACATTCAGAATCTTTCGATCCTTAAAATGTAGGAGGATAGTTACGTATGCAAATTACTAACTTCCCAGGCCGGGGGGAATGAACAGAATGATACAAGAATTCCATGAGATTTATACTAAGGTGTCTGAATAATTCCTCTTAGTAACTAATCAACTAACAGACAATTCCAAGCTGAACAAGATCACCATGATATTAAGCACGTTTTAGTTTCATGCCTTCACGCTGGAGGAGTTTCATTCGTTTTTACGCGTCTATTACCAGTACAGCCATTTTTTATTTTAAGACAAGCAATTGTACAAAGGCTTCTAAATTTTTGTAGAGTTATATATTTTTATACTTGAAATTAAAAAAAAAAATGACTTAAAGACAAACATGCTGTTGAAATACTGTTTTACATCGTCAAACATTGTGTTTTTTCTTTTGTTAAGTAGCGCTTTTCTGTTGAAAGAGTTACGTCAATCATTTTGTTTGTTATTACTACTAATAATAGTAGTAGTAATAATCTAGCGTTATAAATAATGTTTGACGCGTACATGAAAGATGCATTGGAGTAAGAGTCTTTAAAAGTAAGAGTCTTTAATCTTTCGATCCTTAAAACGTATGAGGAGAGTTACGTATGCAAATTACTAACTTCCCGGGCCGGGAGAATGAACAGAATGATATGAGAATTCCATGAGATTTATACTGAGGTGTCTGAATAATTCCTCTTAGTAACTAATCAACTAACGGACAATTCCAAGATGAGCAAGATCGCCGTCATATTAAACATGTTTCGGTTACATGTCTTTACGCTAGCAGCGTTTCGTTCATTTTGACGCGTTCATTACCAAGCATGCGTGTTCCCATTACAAGACAAGCGACGTTTGTACACAGACTTAATATTTTTGTAGATTTATATATTATTATACTAGAAAAAACATTTTTAAATATACCTTGACGAAGAAAAACATTTTGTTGAAATATTATTTAACGTTGTCAAACACTGTGATTTTTGTTTTTTTTCTTAAATCGCGCGTCTCTTAACTGTACTACTAGTAGTAGAAATAATAATAATAATAATAATAATGATAATAATAATAATGATAATAATAATAATAATAATGAAAGAAAAGCTTCTCACTTGCCACGGCATTCAACATACTGAGACTGTTGTTGATCGTCTGTATGTGCCCAGATCCGAAGGAGGCAGAGGATTAGTTCAACTAAAATTGTCTTACAAAAGCCATAACAATCGGCCTTGGAAACTACAGAAGACTGGATGATGATTTGTCTCAAGGAACATGAATGAAATAAGTCACTTTATTCAGTAATAAAGAAGCCAGCAATTTTAAAAGCGAATTTTAAGTGGATGAAGAATTGAAAATAAGCCATAATACGCCAACTGCATGATGCCATTTTTGACCTTAGGTCTCTGGTTGGGACCCAGAAGAAAATGTGTGTACAGCTAAAATCAAAGAAATAATAATAATAATAATAATAATAATAATAATAATAATGGATTTAGCTATAAAATATATTTGATCTTAGATTGTGTTATGGAGTCCTCCCCTTTTTCATATAAGTGGACTCGACCATAGTATTACTTGGACTGCTGCCGTTTAATACCCAGAGTCAGTCAGAATATAGAGAGAGTGGGCAGAGATTGTGATTGAGTTGGAGGTAGAGTAATAGTGTGAGGTAACCGCTTGTAGAAGTCACAGTTACAAGCACGTAAGCTCTAAGGAAGTCCTACTTCGAGACTGTATATATATATATATTATTATTATTATTGCGACTAACCGCGTTCCTAGATTTACTAACAGTATTACCCATTGTATTATTGTGTAAATACATTTAATTTCTTATATTTAATTCTTGCATTTGTCATTCATTGGAGACCAAATTTCATCTCGGAATCCACAACAGATTGCTTATTTTTTATTTTTATATTATTTCATTTTTATTTCTTTTTTAAAAAAATGTTCTGTGGAAAATATATTTCTGATCTTAAAGTCACTTGTTGGGACCTGGAAGAAAATGAGTATACAACAGAAATTTAGGTTTGGTTTGGTTTATTTTGTTTTACGGCACATCAACCTCAATGGGTTATTTAATGCCAACAACATTTTAAATTGCTGGTAACATTTTGTTTTGTCAAATTTGTTTCCCTTAATATTTTTCCTAATAGCAAAGTTTTAATGCAATCTTTCTTTTCAGCTATATTTGCACACATACAAGGGTAGTTTTCCACTTTTCTTAATTGGTCTGTTGTTATATATATATATATATATATATATGTATACACAATAAAATTATCGCCTTGTTGATATTTATTTACCTCCCTTACAAAAACAAAAAAACAAAAAACGATCCTTAATTTTTAAAATGAAAAATCTTTCTGGAAGCTTTTATTTTAGTTAATATCAAGCTAGTAGATTACATTTAATATTACTAATATTACTGATCGTACGGGAATTGGTTTTTCAATGTAGTGTGGCCATAAGCTCATTACACCACCTACACATCCAAGTTTACAGGAATTGGTATTCCCAAGCGGTCACCCATCTAGGTACTGATGGTGCTCGATGTTGCTTAACTTTGGCGATCGTGCTGGATCCGGTGTTTCAAAGTGATCTAATCGTAATCCTAATCTGCAATACGGCAGTAAAGTCTGGACAGTTTCCTGACAGCTGAATAAGAGACTTAACTGAGATATATTTATCCCGACTAATACTGCAAATATACATATTTTTACTAAATGTTCGTCCCCTACCAAGAGCCACTCCAGCTAGAGGGTTAATGAAGCAGATTGCTGTTAGGGGCTTATAATCCAGAAACTTAAAATCCCGAATGTTGAAATCCCGAAATTAAAATCCTGTAAGATAAGAAACCCGAAATTTAAAATCCTGAAAGGTGAGAATCCGGAAATTTAAAATCCCGTAAGGTCAGAATCTCGAAATTTAAAATCCTAAGAGATCAGAATCCCGAAATTAAAATCCTGTTAAAATAAGAATCCCGAAATTAAAAATCCTGTAAGATAAGAAACCCGAAATTTAAAATCCTGAAATTAAAACTCCTGTAAGGTGAGAATCCGGAAATTTAAAATCCCGTAAGGTCAGAATCTCGAAATTTAAAATCCTAAGAGATCAGAATCCTAAGAAATTAAAAAACCTGTAAGATAAGAATCCCGAAATTAAAATCCTGTAAGATAAGAAACCCGAAATTTAAAATCCTGAAAGGTGAGAATCCGGAAATTTAAAATCCCGTAAGGTCAGAATCTCGAAATTTAAAATCCTAAGAGATCAGAATCCCGAAATTAAAATCCTGTAAGATAAGAATCCCGAAATTAAAATCCTGTAAGATAAGAAACCCGAAATTTAAAATCCTGAAAGGTGAGAATCCGGAAATTTAAAATCCCGTAAGGTCAGAATCTCGAAATTTAAAATCCTAAGAGATCAGAATCTCGAAATTTAAAATCCTGAAAGATCAAAACCCCGAAATTTAAAGTCCTGAAATATCTGAATACCGAAATTTAAAATCTTGAAATGTCTGAATGCCGGAATTTAAAATCCTGAAAGATCGGAATTCCGAAATTTAAACTCCCGACAAATCAGAATTCCGAAATTTAAAATCCTGAAAGATCAAAACCCCGAAATTAAAAATCCTGAAATGTCCGAAAGCCGAAATTTAAATTACTGAAAGTTCAGTGTACCGAAATTTTAAATCCTGAAAGATAAGAATTTCGAAATTTGAAATCCTGAAATATCTGAATATCGAAATTTAAAATACTGAAAGATCAGTAAACCGAAATGTAAACTTCCGAAAGATCCGAATTCCGAAATTTAAAATCCTGTAAATTCAGAATACCAAAAAATAATCTTTAGGAAAAATTGAAAAAGACAAAAAATTGGAAATACATTTATTTCTAAACATTTCCAAAATACCGTTTAAATAGTTTTTATACATTTGAATCATTCAAAATTCATTAAAAAATGTATAAAACCTGATTATATATATAATTTAAAATAAAACATTAAGGAGTAAAAGCCCTAAGCTAATCCATAAATCTGCTTCGTTTTCACGATCGTTAATTATATTTAAAGGAAGAAAAATGTATGTTTTATCGTGATGAAAGTCTTATTTCATCCCGATAAAACATACATTTATCGTTTTGAACACGACTCTCTTCGTTTTCCACGTACTCTTACTCTTTTTGAAACTCTCGAGCAATGTGATAAACAGCAACATGAACATCGCTATCTATAAGAGGCAGGATGTGTGTGCGTGTCTGTGTAACGAATGCACGGTCGCAATTTTCGACGGATTTGCACCAAAATTTACATGCACATGCTCCAAGTTAGCGGGAAGGCCAAGACCGACGTTGCATTACCCAACTTCCATCGATAGTGGAAATAATCGATTTTTTCATGCTTCTACGACAGTTTTCATGTAGTTTGCGGCCATTTTCTACTGACCAGAGTGAGAGCTGCCACGAATAGACAGAAAGATGCTATTGGCTATCGTGAGAGCCAACAGCTGACTGACACGAATGTTAACTAGCATGCTAACATGCAAAGAAAAAGAATTAATAGCTGCATTCGTCACAATTGGGAAAAATTTAAATCTGCATGGCACTTTACTCCAATTGGCTCATTCGCTTGCTTAAACTCAACGTTGATTCTGTTTCCGCAGAACTGGGTTCGGCGTGAAAAAGTATTTGTTGTTAAACATTCGTTTTTCATTCGGTTTTTCTAGTTACGAGTCCTTTTTTAAAGCTGATCGTTTTGTGTTCATTTTGTTTAGTTCTTTTTTTCGTAACAGATTTAATGTTTAGTATAGAGCTTAGAAAAAATTTGCAGTGTGAGATAGGCAAGAAGTAAGGCATGTAGCAACATCAGCACGGAAAAGGGCACTCCTTTAAAAGCAAGGAAGGACAAACATATCCAAAGAAGAATCTGCAATCTTATCGGTCCTGACCTGGCATCTCGGCTTCAGTCCATTTCCTACCGCCGTAACGTAAATTCCATGCGCGTTTTCTATAAATGATTTCCTGGTAATTCTTCTGATGAACTTTCCTTTATGTTATCTAATCTTTATGCATTTCATCGCAGATTGGCGGCAAGGTCTCATCATTTTACACTTGATATAGCTAGACGCAACCGTAAGTTCTGTGCCAACAGTTTCTTCTATCGCATTCTCGCATCTGGCTCTCTCTTCTGGCTTCTTGTTTCCCAGTCATTTTGACCCTCAAAAATTTCAATGTAATATCAATCGTTATCTTCTGCTGTCTTAATTCTTGTTCTTTTAATGACTTTTCTCCTTAATACCATGTTTTATCATATTCTTTAACCCCCAGCAACCTCTTGCGTCTTAGTAGCTTTATTGCCTTGCTTGGGGTGAAATAATAAAAAAAAAAGTAAGTCACTCACACACAACATCGACATATATACATTACATACGCAGCCGCAAAGTCACGCGCAGAGAGTTTGTGACGGACAGACAACCAGCATATTTTTTATACATCAGGGATAAGCTTGATTAAAGTTTATGTCTTAACTCATTTTCTATGAAAACGGTATTTGCCGTTTTTTTGGTTCATTTTGTCAGGTTTTGCCATAATTTGTACGTTTCACGTTTACGATGTCCTCTGCGTATCCGACATATATACTTTATATACGCAGACGCAAAGTCACACGCAGAGAATTTGTGACGGACAGACGACCAGCATATTTTTTATAATATACATCAGGGATAAACTTAATTAGATATTCTTTCTTAATTTATTTGCCGTTTTTTTTTTTGGTTCAGGTTTTGCCATAATTTGAGCGTTTTCTCGTTTACGATGTCCTCTGCGTATCCGTAAGCGAGAATACTTGATCCTTTTTATAAAATTCCGGCCGAAGTTTAGAACCGAACTAGAAACATAAAGAATAATAATTTTATCTTTAATAAAATTTAAAAAAAAAATAGCTTAGAAGAAACTTAAATTATATAAAAAAAAAAAAAAAATAAACAGATTTAATCGATAATAAATTTAATTAAAAAACTAAATCCCCTCAGGCCATCAAGAAATAAATAAGCCAATTCTGAAAGAAACTAAAGCGAAAAATCGACATAATTTGACGTCAGCTCTCTCAATTCAAGACTCATAAAATCTCGGTCGAAATCTCAGAGATTTATCGCCAGAACTACCCAATCCACTAGCACGGTTTTCCTCGGCATTAGAACTGTTTTCCCCCCTGGCATTGCTCCACACTTCCTCGCCCCAATGTCTTTTCCTCGCCTTCTGACGCTTACTGGCAACCATCCAGCGCGTGTATTGGAAAAATTTCGCCAAAGTAGGGATGGGACGGGAGTGTCGCTTAGTCATGTGTATTCACAATGCTGGGGGTCGTGCAGAAAGGAGAGGAAGCAATGGATTTCGCCCGACGTTTACAGACGATTTCATTGCTCCACTCTCTTCTCATTGCGCCAATCGCTGGTCGTCCTACGGTTTAAGGCCAGTTTTTGGATACACCACAATTTATCGGTTAAAGAGTGGACTCGGCCCGATTTGCTTGTTGCTATGCCGTTAAAGTTTATATAATTATTTACAAAGCTGTCCGTTTTTCGTTCTCTTCCTGGAGCCATGGGAGAGAAAATGAAACTGTGTACAGGCATGCCTTATTTAATGTTTTCGTTTAGTCTGGCGTGAGGCCAGTATATTAGAGCATTTAGAAGCGTGCAACACGTGCTTTTTTAGAGGAGACTGCTAACAATTAACTTGAAGTAAGGAAACACTGGTAGATATTTGCTAAGTTAAAATGTCGGGCACGAGGTTAGAAAAAAGTACATCTATCTATCTATCTATCTATCTATCTATCTATCTATCTATCTATCTATCTATCTATCTATCTATCTATCTATCTCAGTCTTTTTATATCTATCTGTCTGTATTCATATTTACGTATATATATAAATTTATATATATAGATATATAAATATTTATATATCTAACCCTGTGTATTAATATCTATCTATCTATCTATCTATCTATCTATCTATCTATCTATCTATCTATCTATCTCACATTCTCTCTCTATCTCTCCCCTATATATATATATATATATATATATATATATATATATATATATATAGGGGATTTCCATGAAATACATACATACATACATATATATATATATATATATATATATATATATATATACTTCAAACGTCATCGTATTTTTGAAATAGAGGCGCTGCTTTTTATTTTAAATAGCGTCTGTTACGTCTATTATATGTGCATATATATATATATATATATATATATATATATATATATATATATATATATATATATATATATATGGGAAAAAGTGTATATCAATATAAATAAATATATATATGTATAATTATTTATATATTATATATGGGTACTTATTAGAAAGCGCTCAATATCAGAGATAGAGCTAACATATTTGGTTGGATAGATGTGAGTTTGTGACCCTGGGTTTCACGCTTTTGCGATCTTCAGAAAAACTGATTAATTAATAACACCAATAACACCAATACACGCAATCTACATAAACCCAAATTTTTAAACATATTAATCAGTTTGTCTGACGATCGGTAAAGCGTGAAACCCAGGGTCACAAACTAACA